CCCCCCCCCCCCCCCCCCCCCCCCCCGTGGCTCAGTCTAAGGGAGAAAGCAGGTGGTTCAGGGGCCCCACAGTGTGACAGGGCTAAACTTTACATACTATGACAGAGTGACGGGTTGAACTTTGCCCACTTTACATAGAGTTGGCCTGCCCAGCTAATATTTATTTCTGCACTGTCATTATAGGTTGATTCCCATCTGTTTCCTATGATCTTTAAATTTGTCCTTTTATAACTGACAGACGGGGCTGGATTACAACCTCACTGGCCTCTAGTGAGTGCTCAAAGGGAACCAACGGGTGCCCCCCCCGTAGGCAAGCTTCACAACTTCCCATCTTTGATATTAATTTGTAATTAGCTTCTGGGTCCTCTGCTCCTAGATGCTGGCACTAGCATGTATCTGACCTATCTTTTTCACTTACTTTAAAAACAATTTCACTGGAAAGGCAAAATACAGTAAATGCACAAAAGCACATTAGGCCAAGGTAGGGGGACAGAAAGGATGCCAGCAAGAAAGTGGCTGCCACACAGGTGTTGTGTGAGGAAGGCGCATGTGCCAGGCCCTCCTGTTCTTTCCTGGCAATGATCCACGCTACAGAAGACGTCGGATTTCCCTCGGCCTAGGTTCGCTGTGAACTTCCAAACCGGCTTCAGTGACTATGACATTGTCTTCCACTTCAACCCGCGGTTTGAGAATGGGGGGTATGTTGTTTGCAATACGAAGCAGAAAGGAAACTGGGGACCAGAGGAGAGGAAGATGCAAATGCCTTTCCAGAAGGGGAAGGCCTTTGAGCTCTGCTTCCTGGTGCACAGCTCGGAGTTCAAGGTGAGCACAAATGCCCTCCTATGCTCTCTCCAAGCCACCTCCAGCCCTGTCAGGCTTGGTGAGAGGCCTTGAAGCAAGCACATTCATTGACACCAGGCCAGAGCAACAGCACTGCAGACAGTAAGACTGAAGCCTGGCCAGCGGGTCCCCTGAGCACATAGCCTCTTCGCACACTTTCACCTGCAGACAAGTGCTCCCCCTGCTGCTTTTGTTGTTCCCATAAGAACTAGATGCATCATCATGTTGCTTTTGGCCCTTGCATGTCTTTAAAGTGCAGGTTATTTCCATTCCTGTTCCGTAGCCATCTCTCTGCTGTGGGTCTCTCGTAACATCTAGCCTCTGGAAAAATTACTCTAGTCCTTTTCCTGGTTTTACTTATAAAATCACAAGCCAGTGTAGATTATCTCTGCAGTGCGTCTCCAGGCTTAGGACCAGGGTCGGGTAAGAACGTCCATTTCTGGCGCTATGTGTATGATACGGAGTTTCCCATGCACTCAATGTGAAATGAAAGGATGTCCCTCCTCTGCTCTCTGTGAGCATTTATCTGTTTTGAAGTACTGTTGGGTGAGCTGAGCTTAGAGAGGCAGACTGACCATATACTGAACAAACAACTCTATGAACCAAAAGCCAAGAACTGGGGCCAAGTGGAGATCCAGATTGAGTGCTCCAGACACCTGGTCCTCTCACAGGCCCAGTGCTGGACACAGACAGCTGGCTCAGGTCTTTATATCCAGGAGCAGAGGGCCTGGTGTGCTCCTGCTCTGGCCTGGGACTCCCGCCCCCACCCCCAGACCCCACTGTCCTTTTACAGGTGATGGTTGATAAGAAAGTCTTTGTGCAATACCCACATCGAGTGCCCTTCCACCTTGCGGACACCATCTCTATCGCTGGCCCTTTGCAGCTGTCCTACATCAGCTTTCAGGTCAGACTGAATACCTCGCGCTGTGTTGTCCCAGGGGCTACGGTGCAGGGCCCAGCCTGCCTCTGCCTAGGCCTTATTTGGTGGGCCCAAAGGTTGCAGCCAATCTCCTCCCTCAGTGGTTTTGGGGACAGACTGGTTCCTCTGTCCTTGCCCTCCTGCCACTCTGTACCACCTCCTTCCATTGCTATCTCTGTCTAGAGCATTTCCTTTGGTCTCCTGGCCCCTTCCCCTTACTTTCTCTCACCCTCTATTTCTACCCCTATTCAAAGATCAAGTGATTCCAGAAAGAATCCAAGTGTGGGAACCAAATGAAATTCTATTCAAATTTCCAAATCTGCCATTCTCACCATCTGTGGGATCTTTGAGGAACAACTTCACCTTTCCAGCCTTGGTTTTCTCATCCAAAGAATGGGCACAGTCATTGCTACTGGGTTGTGGGATTCCTACCACACCATGTGCATCAGATGACACAACACAGTCCCTAGGGCCCACCCCAGGGCTTGTCGAACCCTCGCTGCGTTTTGCAATTTTTAAATGTGTTGCCAAAGTCCAAAAGGTGCAGAGATATCGTGAGAAAAATAGGATGATTGGGGCACACGGGCCAGCAGTATGGTTTTAAACAAACATAAGCACCTTCTCCCTCCCCTGCGGGAGTGGGGGTGGGGGGACCCTGCCACCCTGCCTTCACTCACAGGACCACTCAGGGCACGCCCTGCCTGCACCTGTCCACCTCATCCAGCATGCCCCTGCCCAGCACCACGCTTTGCTCCTCCTGGGCTCTGCTGCTCCCTTACCTTGGTGCCTTTTAACAGAGCTTCCACGTGCTGCCTGCCTTCGCCACGCTGCAGTTCTCAAAGCCTGCCTACTGCCCACAAAAGCCCAAGGGCCGCAAACCAAAAGTGAGTCGAACACAGGGCGTGGGAGGCTGAGCATTGAGCAGGGAGGACAGACTGGTCCAGCCCGCAGGCCCATCGCACCCATGCAGGGGTTTCCTGTCTGCACCCGCCAGGCCCCCAGAAGCTGGGCACCTGAGGCCACCCTGGGCCCCTCCCCACAGCCCGTATTCCTAGAGCATCAGCATCTCTCCCTCCCCAGAACTGTGGCTCTGGCCCAAGCCACGGTGACTCCTCACCATGACATCCGTGGTCCGCTTCCTCCTACCCCTACACAGCGGCCTTCCTGAAACACATTGGGTCAGATCTTCTCCCTGCTTACAAATCTTTAAAGCCCACCCCAGGCCTTGTTGAACCCTCTCTGTATTTTATAATTTTCAAATGTGCTCATCCCAGCAGAGTGAGCCAAGATTGTCCCCCACCTCCTCCCAACTCACCGCCCAGCCTCACTGTCACCAAACAAACTCACACAGCCTCGCTGCTCATTCCAGGCCCTCTCGGGCCACCATATTTTGCCACCTTTCACCCATCTCACCTCAGTGAACACTCCACTTGAGAGTGCTCCTGCCCAGGAGATTGCGTCCACATCAGAAGCCGCACGAGCCCTGTGCTTGGTACACCCTGAGGCCTTCCACCCTCAGGAAAGCTGGTTCTCACCCGCTCAGTGGCACAGGACTCTGAAAGCAGCGCCCTTGCCTCTGAAGGCACAGCAAGCAAGATGAGCTGGGTCAGGCCTGGCCCAGCTCCTAACCCTGGATCGTCCTAGCTTAAGGGGTTCAAAACCACGGTGCACTAGGCTCAGGAAGGGTTGCTGAGAGGAGAAAATGGGCAAATATGTCTGAGAAGCCATTTCTAAGCACAAGAACCCCCTCTGGAGCCCTGCAGTGCTGTGTGGCACTTGTATTGACCTGTTCTGTTGGTTTCTCTCATTGCTTTCAGCCTCAGGGGACCTGGCCTGCCCACCCGGGTCTGGTGAGTCTCTTGCTCTTACGTCTCCTCTTCTTCATTTCAAATTCTCCTGTGGGTTAACATACTCACGACAGGGCCATAATCCCTATCTTACTGCTAAGCGGCCCATACGTGACCATCCCAGCAAATGGTACAAGCTACAGAATGGCGTGGCCAAGCACAAGGAGGCAGAAACCCCGGAGCTCCATGGGGGTAGAGCTGCAAGGGCCTCCCAAGTGCCTGGCCTTGTGACTGTGGGGCATGGCTTGTGGGTGTGTTTGGCTCGCCGGAGGCCCCAGGGAAACAGGAAGTGACGTGAGTGGAGCAAGTTCTTGCCATTCTACAGGCAACTGTTGGACAAGGACGCTACACATTCTCCTTTCCAACCTTAAAGATGGGGCTGTGAGGAGAGAAATTTCCCAGAGGAGAAAGGCGAGCCAGAGGCCACAGACACTGCCCTCTTCCTTCCCTGGAACCCTAGTCTTTGCCCCTCCTCCCTCACCCACTTGAATGAAGAAAGCCCCTTTGGCCACCCCTAGCCCTCTCAGTGATTGTAGCTCGTTATCAAACAGTGTGTGCCTTGTGGCGCCCTCTGGTGGCAGGTCTTCGCGCTGGTGAGAGCTTTTGAAAACCTAGTTTCTTCTTCCAGTTTCAGCCAACCATGCCTGGTTTTCCCGGACCAGTGTTCTCCGTACGTCTGAAAAGTCCAGTCTACTCACAACCCTATGTCTTCCTTCTTCAACAAGGAGCGAATTCTCTCAAGTCTCAGAATTAGGAAGAAAGCAACTTAGGAAAGAAGATAGGGACAGTTGGGGCTGGACCTTCTACTCAGAAGATGAAGGTTTCCTTGGGACAGCAGGGATTCCTCAATAGTCCCCACAGAAGCATGTCCCCCGGGGAGCAGCAGAGTAAATGGTGGAAGGGGGAATATTCCCAAGAGGGGAGCGTAGTGGCCCCGGCTTCCGGATACGTAGTTCCTAACTAGGCATTCTGAGCACAGGACCCTGTGGTGTCACTAACTGATTCCAAGTGTCCCCTCCCCTCACTGTCATTGCATATTAGTGGGGGGTCTGCAGTGAGCAAGAGCTGACTGGAGGGGCTGAAGGGCAGGTGAGGGGATCTGAGATCACAGGAAGAGCCAGTAAGGCCGATGGCACAACCCAGGTAGACTGTAGAACCCCAGGGCAGGGGCCTCCCAAACTGTCTCCTATTGGGGTACCCCCTCAGAATGTGTGGGTATCCATGTGTGTGCGCTGGCCCACATACATTCTCACTTTTAATTTGTTGTCTCTCTTCCCACAGAATCCTGGGATGTTGCCTACCATGTACCCCAACCAAAACTATGTAAGTGGTGTGTGGGTGACTCGGGGGATTTCATTTGCTGTGGCAGGGTGCGGGGTAAATGGCAGTGGGGGTGATCCTCTGACTTGTATAATTAAAAATTGTCCTTTGTTGGCTGAAAGTTAAAACTATTTGGGTAAATTAGGAGAATGCTGAAAGGAGCTTTCAGCTTTAAAATGGTCCCTTGAGTGTGAGCTAATTATATGGCCTTCACTTGTCACCCCAGAGTGTGTTAGTGTCCAGCCAAAGTTTCTTCCATGACAGCGAAGGCCTCCTGCCTTGGAAACACTGGCAGGTTTTCCCTTGGCATTGAACGAGCCTTCTGGAAGCTGTACCACTGTCAGGCATGGCTTCAGACTCATCTGATGTCCAAGTCCAGGACACTTGCTACGGAATGTTGCCCCTGCAGTGGTGCTGTCTGCTGTCACCAGTTGACCTGTCCCTGTCTTCCCAACAGCCGATGCCTTACTTCACCTCCATCCCCGGCGGACTGCACCCTTCTAAGGTCATCACTGTGTCCGGCATTGTCCTGCCCAATGCTAAGAGGTAAGACAGGACCTCCAGGGATTTCAGGGAGGAGCGAGCCACCTGTTGGCTCCGGGCAGCCTGGAAATGGGGGGAGCGGCTGAGGCTGGACCTCAGGAGTCAGAGGGAGCCCATGTGATGCATCCATCTCAGGTTCCACATCAACCTGCGCTGTGGGAATGACATCGCGTTCCACCTGAACCCTCGCTTTGATGAAAATATTGTGGTCCGAAACACCCAGATCCAGGGCCGCTGGGGGTGGGAGGAGCGAAGGCTGCCCATCAAGATGCCCTTCAGTCGAGGCCAGAGCTTCTCAGTAAGATGCTGCGGTCTGGAGCCTGGGCAGCCACTGGGTGCAGGGACAGAAGGCGTAAGGTGGTCTGGGGGTACTTTGAATGGGGCTGGCTGATGCCTGTTGATGGCAGGACTGGGCCCCAATGGAGAGAGAATGTGCTGCAGACTTCCTATTTTATGATTACTGTCCCCGCTGTGACAAGCATTAACATCTGCTTTTTATAGATGAGCAAAAATAATCACAAGACAGTGAGGGTGAGAGGGTGGGTGTGGCTGCAGCCGGATCACCAGGAGCAGGAGTGGAGAACACTCAGACTACACACCAGACAGGGCTCACCAAAGACACATGCAGCCTGGCGCTGTGGCACATGTCTACATGCAAACTCTGGGAGGCTGAGGTAGGAAGGAGACACACCTGAGCCCGATCTGGGCAGTTTAGCAACTTAATGAAACACTGTTCCAAAGTAAAATATAAAAAAGAAATGGAGGGGGTTTGGAGATGTCACTAAATGCACAGGTCCTGGGTTCGATCTCTAGGACCATAGAAAGAGAAGGAAAGGAGAGGGAAAGGGAGGGAGGAGAGGGGAGAGAAGGGCAGGCCGAGGGGAGGGAAAAGAGATGGGGAGGGAGGAGGGGAGGGGAGGGGAGGGAAAGAGGAGAAAAGACAGAAAGAGGGAAGGAAAGAAAGAGGACTGTCAGTAGTGATGCCTAGGTGCCCCCAACCATGGAGCCTGCTAGCCTGGGCACTCGCTTAGGCCTAAGGTAAGCCCTAAGTGGTTGTACTCCACAGCCAGAGTTGGAGATGAGTGGTACAGGGCTTCACTGGCTATGAAAGGAGCCTGAATTTTACTACAGTGAGAATCAGGGAAGTGAGGTCAGGGAGCAGTGCATTTGATTTATAGGTAGCTGTGCAACCTTGGGGGTGTGACTTAACTGCTCTGTGTCTCTGACTCTTCATCTACAAATGGGGCTTAGAATCCTGGGACCTCAGAGGGTTTTGGGAATGGGCCGAGCTAGCCTCTGTGCACACTAGGACGGTGCCCTGCACGGGAGTGTGACGCAAGTGTGACCATTGCATTTGTGCTCTGACTGCCTCCTGGAGAAGGCTCCTGCTGCTGCAGAGCCAGGCAGGGACATGGGGGACACAGATGGCAGCAGCCAGTCCTGATTCCCTGGTGGCCTGAGGAGGCAGATGGACCACTGTGAGGGGTCAGGTGGGGGAAGGGAACACTTGGAAGAGGGAGCTGGGTCGTGAGGTGCCTGGCAGTGACACAGGGGGCAGATGCAGGCTGGGAGCAGCACTGAGGGCTGGGCACCAGGGGTGTTAAGGAGGAATGGGTCCTTCAGTGGGGGAGGGGGAAGGGCTGATTGGGGAGAGGAAGGAGGTGGCAAGGAGGAGGGAGGAAGGAGGAGGGCCCTGAACCTGCCCGAGGCCAAGGACTTTGCACTAAGAGAGCCAACGGCAAGGCCTCTCTACCCAGGTGATGATCATATGCGAAGGCCACTGCTACCGTGTGACTGTGGGTGGCCAACACCTGCTGGAATACGTCCACCGCCTGACAGATCTGAGGGCCATCAATAGCCTGGAAGTGACTGGTGACATCCAGCTGACCCACGTGCAGATCTAGGTGGGCTACACAGGCTGGCAAAGGGTTGGGTGTGCTCTGCTGTCTGTGTCTCCCCTTTCTTCTCCTCCCTGCTGGGACCCAACTCCTGAGCTGGGCTATCCCAGCAGGAGGCAGCCCAGGCCATCCCAGCAGGGGGGAGCTTAGGCGCCATGCAGGGGATCTGGCAGCTCCCAGCAGAGAAGAAGGTCGGGAGCCTTCTGAACCCCCAGCCCAATCCGACACTGCACACAGCTCTCGGCCACTTTCCCATTCTCCCCGCATCCCCTCTGAGGTCCCAAGTCCTTGGCTGTGAACCCTGCTGCAACTCTGCCCCTCTGGGGAGGTTGCCCTAGTGACACCCTGCTGGCTTCCACCCACTCAGCAGAACTTTCTCAGCAGGGAGCCCTTTCCGTTCCTACCACCCTTAAAATATATAAGAAATGAAATGCTGTTGGCAAACACTCGTGGAATGGCTGCCTTATTACTGTGTCTAGAGACATTTAGGAGTCTCTGGAATTAAGGGTCCCTGCTGAGGGGCAGGAGAGGGAGCAGATCCCTTTGAGCTGGGTCCTGATGTCCACAGATCCCTCACAAAGCCCATGGAGAAGGAAGCCAGGGCTCAGATTTCCCAAGCAGAGGTCTCTAC